CATTGAATAGATAGATTGCTCTGGGAAGTATAGACATTTTTAACAATGTTGATTCTTCCCAGCCATGAGCATGGTATGTTCTTCCATTTGCTAATATCCGCTGCTATTTCCTTTCTTAGTGTTTCATAATTTTCTTTATAGAGGTCCTTCACCTCCTCTGTTAGGTATATTCCTAGGTATTTCATTTTCTTTGGGGCTATGGTGAAGGGAGTTGTGTCCTTAATTAACCTCTCATCTTGGCTGTTATTGGCATATACAAAGGCTACTGACTTGTGGACATTGATTTTGTATCCTGAGACATTACTGAATTTTTTGATGACTTCCAGGAGCTTTGTGGTTGAGTCTTTGGGGTTCTCTAAGTATAAGATCATATTGTCAGCAAAAAGGGAGAGTTTGACCTCCTCTGCTCCCATTTGGATGCCCTTTATTTCCTTCTCTTGCCTAAGTATTGGCTAGAATTTCCAGCACTGTGTTGAACGGTAATGGTGACAGAGGACAACCTTGTCTGGTTCCAGTTCGGAGAGGAAAGGTTTTCAGTTTTACTCCATTCAGTAAAATATTAGCTGTGGGTTAGTCATAGATAGTTTCAATCAGTTTCAGAAATGTGCCATGTATGCCTATACTCTTCAGTGTGCTAATTAGAAAAGGATGCTAGATTTTATCAAATGCTTTTTCTGTATCTATTGATACAATAAGACAGCTTGTGAGTTGTTGATGCGCTCTCTTTCTGTTTTTCGAATGTAGGCATCTAAAGGCAATAAATTTTTCTCTCAAAACTGCTTTTGCAGTATCCCACCGGTTTTGGTAGCTTGTGTCTTCATTGTTGTTGTGCTCGAGGAAGTTAATGATTTCCTCTTTTATTTCTCCCTGCACCCAACTGTCATTCAGCAGAAGGTTAACTTCCATGACTTTGTGTGGGGTTGAACGTTTTTGTTGTAGTTGAGTTCCACCTTTACTGCTTTGTGGTCTGAGAAGATACAAGGTGAAATTTTAATTCTTTTGATTCTGTTGAGGTTTGTTTTATGTCCTAGGATATGATCAGTTTTGGAGAATGTTCCATGGGCTGATGAGAAGAATGTATATTCTTCATCTTTGGGATTGAGTGCTCTATATGTGTCTATCAAGCATAGTTGCTCTAGAGTCTCATTTAAGTCCCTTATATCTTTGTTTAATTTCTGTTTAGAGGATCTGTCCAGCTCTGTAAGAGGAGTATTAAAGTCCCCTGTTATTATGGTATTATAGGATATCATATTGCTCAGACTGTGTAATGTTTATTTCAAGAATCTGAGAGCATTTAAATTGGGTGCATAAATATTTAGAATTGAAATGTCTTCTTCTTATATTTTTCTCTTGACCAATATAAAGTGACCATCTTTGTCTTTTTTGACTTTAGTTGCTTTAAATCCACATGTATCTGAAAATAAGATTGCAACTCCTGTTTTCTTCTGAATTCCATTTGCCTGAAAAAGTATCTTCTAACCCTTAACTCGGAGTTTTAATTTGTCTTTTGAAGGTAGGTGTGTTTCCTGCAGACAGCAAATAGATGGCTTGTGTTTTTTAATCCAGTAAGTCAATCTATGCCTCTTCAGTGGGGAATTGAAGCCATTGACATTTATTGAGATAATTGATAAGTGTGGTAGTGCTCTATTCATCTTATTTTGTGAGAGTCCATTGCTTAGTTTTATCTTTTGCATCACGGTGGAAGTTAGGTTCTGTCCTTTAATTTCTGAGATCTTACTTTGCTGTTGATCCATTGTGGTGGTCAGTGTGTAGAATGGGTTGAAGTATTTCCTGTAGAGTTGGGCTTGTTGTAGCGAATTTCCTCAATGTTTGTATATCAGTAAATGATTTGATTTCTCCATCAATTTTAACACTGAGCTTAGCAAGATATAGAATTCTGGGCTGGAAATTGTTCTGTTTAAGTAGATTAAAGGTAGATGACCATTATCTTCTGGCTTGGAAAGTTTCATTAGAGAAGTCTGCGGTCACCCTGATAGATTTGTCCCTGTCGGTCAACTGGCACTTACTCCTGGCAGCTTGCAGAATCTTTTCTTTTGTCTTGACAGGTTCATCACAATGTGTCTTGGAGAGGCTCAATTAGAGTTGAGGTGACCTGGGGTCCGATATCCCTCTGAAAGGAGTGTGTCAGAATCTTTGGTGATATTTGGGAAATTTTCATTTATAATATTCTCAAGTATGGCTTCCATTCCCCTGAGGCATTCTTCTTCCCCTCTGGGATACCTATAACTCATATGTTTGAATACTTCATATAGTCCCAGAATTCTGATAGTGAATGTTCTGCTTTCACTCTCTTCTTTTCTGCCTCTTTAACTATCTGAGATATCGCAAGAGCTTTGTCCTCTACCTCTGAGATTCTTTCTTCTGCATGGTCTAATCTGTTTTTGATACTTTCTATTTCATCTTTAAGTTCCTTAATTGACTGCTTCAGTTCCTTCAGCTCTGCTATATCCTTTCTATATTCTTCATATCATTCATCTCTTATTTGATTCTGTTTTTGGATTTCCTTTTGGTTATTTTTCATCATTTCCTTCATTGTTTTATCATCTGTATTCTAAATTCCCTTTCTGTCATTTCTAACATTTCTATATAGGTGGAATTCTCTGCAGTAGCTACCTCATGTTCCCTTATGGGGGTTGCTCTGGACTGGTTTTTCATGTTGCCAGGATTTTTCTGCTGGTTCTTCCTCATGAATGATTTATCTGCTTCCTTGCCCTAATTTTCCTTTCACTTCCTCTTGCTCTTTAAGTTCCTGAGCCTCTGGACTAGGGTTTCGATTGGTCCAGTTCTCCACTGCTTTTGTCCTCCTTATGGGGTCCAGAAGTCCCTCGCTGACTCTCTGTGTCTCCAAAGGGATGTTTCTGAGCCAATCCCACCAGCCAGAGATGCCTGTAGCCTCCTCTCCCTGGACTCACGGTGCCCAGTTGCAAGGAATCTGTTACTCGGCCACCATCTTGCTCCTCCTGATTCTGTCCTCAAAGCCATGTTTGTAGGAATTCTTCTGCATCTGCCTTCAGAGCCATACAAGATAATCACTTTGATCTTTTATAATCATACCTCACTTTTACTGCTGTTTTTAGTTTACTAAAAATGATACTACCCAGTTTTATCACCAACTACAATCACCATATTTGGTTTCAAGTGGCCTTAACTCTTCCTCACCACCATTGAGAAGTGCTAACAGTGAATGCAGGGGCTGTGCTGTGGCTGATTCTGAGCACTTTGCAAGGATTATTTCATTTGATCTTTACAACAAAGTACTGCAAACAAGCACTACTATTATAATCACTGGACAGATGAGGACACTAAGGCAAAGAGAGGTAAAACAAGCTGCCCCAGAGGTAAAATGACCAGTTCTTGGCTAGTAAGAGGTTGAGCCAGGATGCACCCTCAGGCCCTGGAGAGCTGAGTTTATGCCCTTAACCACTGTGATTCAGCATTTTGAGGTTTCAAAAAAGATGTGTTTTCAGTGCTTAAGAAAATTTCATGAGAAACATTCCAAAATGTTTTTGAAAAATGTCAGCACCCTTGAAGAAAGCATATATTTCTTTTTGAAAGCTATTCTGAAGATGCAAAACATACCCTTATGAGAAAGTCTTATACTTTTGTTTAAAATATCAGTCACATCATCTTGTAGCAGTGAAGGCCTTTGATATTAAATGGTCTTGTCAGGGTTTTTTATTCTTCTGCAAATTCTGCACTATTTTTAGAAAAAGACCATCTAAATTCCATTTTGAACTTTTTTATTTTCAAAGAAAAATAATAGCAGCAGTCCCTTTGAAAGACCCTTCTACAGTAAACTTTAAACTTTCAAAGGCCTTGCCTTGGGGAAATATTATAAAATTGGCATGCTGATTCTTTTTGCTCACATGGCTTACTAGGAACACCAAGGCTTTAAGTCACACTCCTCCCAGCTGCACACAGCAGACATGAGGGTGTATCATATCCAATTTAAACACTACTGAGAATCAGCCAATCTGCTCCTCCTGTGTGTGACTCCACGTGAGACAGAAAGTGGTGGAGTGCAGATGATCAGAGCATGGGTTTGACTCAAATTGAGTTCATCACACACTCGTATGTCATCTTGAGCAAGTTTCATAAACTCTTTCAAGTCTTAATTGTTCCATCTATAAAATGAGGATGATAATAACATATGAAAATGAAGTAAGACAATCCACAAAAAGCTCTTACTACACAGTGCCTACCACAATATAAGCACTTGTTGAATATTAATTATTATTAAATAAAAATGAACTAGGATGGTCTCTCTCCTCAGATGGTTTATCATAGCATCAACAATAGTAATAGGAAGTGAATGTTCTGTGCATCCCAAGAGTAGAATGAAGCAAAGTGTTCAAAATCCAAAGTGGGACTTCGGGAACCAAAGGTTACCAAACAGTTGGGGAAAAGAGGAGGGGTAACAGTTGAAAAATGGATAATAGAGGTGAGGGAAATGTTTTACATCTTGATGGAATGTAGCTACCAGGGGCTTGAGCAATTTCTGAACATTCACTGAATTGCATACTTAGATTTGTGCATTTCAGTATATGTAAATTCCCCTTAAAAAACAACAAATATTTAAAAATTAATGGGAAAATTTTAAAAAATGGGTAATAATTGAAAGGCAATCAGAAGAAATGGGAAGGACTTGGAGTGAACAGCATGAACAGAGGGGACAGAGGCAGCAAAGAGCCCTGTGCACTTGGCTCAGTCACGGGTGGGGTTATAGGCATGCTGGAGAACAAGGCTGGAGACACCCAAGTGAAGGGCTCTAGACTCCATGTAGGGTGGAGGGAAGTGTGCCAAGTGAGAATGGTAAGTGAGAGTTGATGGTTTGTTTTTGCTTTTCAGATTTAGGATCCAAAATCAATTCAACTTAAAAAGCATTTTAAATTCTTGGGGCATCACTGATCTTTTTGATCCACTCAAAGCCAACTTGAAAAGAATTTCAGGTAACAACAGTTCTCCTTCCAAACTTTCTGGTGTTGTGTTTGGGGCAGTTCTATCATGCTTTGATTAAGGGGTTCTCATGGTTTTTATAGTGTCTTCAGTGGTAAACTGGGTTAACATTATGTAAAAGAGTAGAGAAAGCACTTTGTTTCATAAAAGAGCACGCTGCTTCTCATAGTGGTCAAATTGGGGTCAGACTTTGTGGGGAAGGGATGCTTCTTGAGACCTTTCAACACGGTTTTGGGAAACCACCTTCACAATGAGGGACATAGGGCACACACACTCATCTCCCTCCACCTAGCATGACCAGGGACCACCAGAGACACCAGTCCTCATAACACTCTCCATCCTGAGCGCTTGCTGTCCTGCCAGCCTCCTGGTCAACCCTTGTTTCTCCCTTCTCTCCCTCCCTGCGTGTTTATGCCTCCTCAAGTTAGGTCTGAAACTTTCCTTCCTCTGTCCAATTTCCCTTCTTCAAATCTCCATGCTCCTGTAACCTTGCCTCCAGAGGTCCTCCCTCCGGCATTCATGTTGAATTTCTCAGTTGACATGCTACTGCCAACTAGTAGGGGCCGTGTTTGCCTGTGATCTGAGAGGGGACTTAACATCAAATGTAAAAAGGGAGTGGAAGGCCAGAACCTGTGTTCCAGAATCTTCTCAGGACAGCATTGGCTAAACTACTGCTGACTCAAAGGCTCAGGTTTGTTTCTCCTCTGGATAATAAATTATCTGTGCAGAGATAATATTGTAGCTGGTTTTTTCATCAGCCTTGACATGTCCCTTACCTGATGGGCTTAAAAATCACTATTTTGAATGTTAGAACTTCCTCATGCAGAGTTTTCTCAAGGGTTGCTCAGAATTTTTCCTCTTAGGTAATCAGTAAAAAACATGAGATTTTGATCCACAAGAGAAGTTTTAGCTTGGGCTTCAGGTGTGACCAGATTAACTGACAGAGGTTCTTATCAAATAAAATACAGAAGGAAGGATCTCTCCTAGGGTGTTTAAAATGCACAGGCTCTATTCTCACTGTACAAGCAAGCAAGGAGATGAGCAAAGCCACGGTCCAGCTGGGCATCATGCCGTGACAGTGCTTGGCATACACACAGCTAAAACCCAGTAAGTATTGTTGGCTTGGTGCAACGACTTGACCAGAAACTTTCCCAGTGACACAGATACCACATAACATGGCAGCTAAAGGAGGGGTCTTGGAGTGAAAAGAGCAGAGGGCAAGGAAGAAGGCGGTGAAGAGCTAGAGTGCATTCAAGCGCGGGTGATGTGCAGAATCCAGTCCCAGCACCGTCTGTGGCTCCAGAGCTCAGCCATGACATCCTTGTTGCCGATGACATGTCTGCTCCACTATGGACCGTCCTAGTTCAGAACGTTAGGGCCATTCTTCACCTTGTCTCCCACACCACTGTATTCAGTTAATTGCTACAGTGTACTGATTGTTGATGCATAACTCTTAAATCTCTCTTCCTTTATGTCCTAGAAGTACATAGTACATCCTAAAATGCCACCAATGCTGTGTCCTCAAACAGTAACTTTCTGACCCACACTGTGCCGCTCCCCTGCTGTGGAGATGTCCAGCGTCTATACGTTCCTCCGCAACACCTAATAAGCAAGCTGGCATTAAAGTACTTTTCTCTGATCTTTTTCTTCTAATGCAATTCAAGTCTACTTATATTCATTCACACCAGCAGAAATACAGGCTTATCAATCTGGTTTATGCAATAATTATCCCAGGCAGTCGCCACATGCCAAGTGTGAAGCTTACATTCATGCTTCCTATTGATAAAATGTGCCACAATAAGCTCTTCCCAGGAAGTTCTGTTCCTCTAAAGCAGGGGGTCAGCAAACCATGATCTACCACCTGCTTTCATAAATATACTTGTATTATAAAACCACCACTCCCTGCATCTGCCGATTATCTGTGGCTGCCTCCCTGCTACAACAGCAGGGTTGAATAGTCAGGAAAGATGCCACATGGCTTGCAGTGACTAAAGTAATTAATATCTGGCCCTTTATAGAAAAGGTTGCCAACTAAAGTAATGCTTTCCAATGCTCTTTTCAAACATAATCAAGAAAAAAAAACCAATCAAGACACTAATCCCTTCTGTGCCCAAGTAGGCTTTTGGTATTATTCTAGAAACAGAGACACTGAATCTCTCCACAAAATAGTTTCCTCGTCCCTAAAATGGGGGTAGCCACCTCACACCTTAACTGTAGAAACAAAATGATTTAAGACATAGCACATCATCGGTAGAGCCCTTGCCAGTGATCAGGAAGTGCTGGCTTGCCTCCCCCAGCACAAGGGGTTAGCAAACAGTTTTGTGCTTTTGATGGAAGCCCAACAACCACAGGGAACATTTTGCTTTGGGGTTCGAGAGCCCAGAATCATTTTACCCAAGTTTGCCTTTTCCACTTATGTCTTCCATCTTGAAATCAAATCCTTTTTTGCTGCCTAAAGAACTTGCTCCATTAAAAGAAAAAAATAAAAGAACGCCCTATCATTTCAAGGCCCAGTTGAACCCAGGGTGTAATTCTGTGCCCTATCTTCCTTCCCAGCACCCTCTCCAGACTCCTTAACACCAGCTGTTATAAAGGTTCTAGGGGTAGGGACATAGGATGCAGCAAACTCACCCTCACTTCCCCCAGCATGAGTAGGAATGTAAAATTCCAGTTGCATTGCCACTGAAGATACCCAGCTAAAGACACACCAGTAGGCTTTGCTATAGACCTATCATCTCTAATCCGAGAAACACTTCTTGTGCACAAACTTTAAACTTTAAAGAAACTATCTCATTCCTGGCTTTTATAAGTAGGTAATAGCTTCCAATCTCTCTTCTCTATAACTATGATCTAAATGAGCAAACCACCAGAATGGTTGGGTCAATGACATAAATTAACTCTGCCATATCAGAGTCAGCTGCTGCACATGGAAAGGTGAGGAGTGGGCTGGGCAGGGAGCCGGAGAAAGCAACCAACCACAGCTAGTTTCAAAGGCCACCTCAGGTCCTTCTTAGCCCTTTCCCTCTGTGTCCTAGACTGGGTGTTATTTCTGACTCTCTCTCTCACACACACACACCCTCTGGCTTTTAGCAACTCAGTAACAAGAAAATATGCTTACCCTGCTATATGAGAAGCTGAGAATCAAACATAAGGACATCGATTTATATTTTTGCAAGTCTTGTGTTTATACAGTGTTGTATTATGTAGACTCAAACCTGTTGAGAGCGTGACACACAGAGAGTAATGGTCTCCCCTCACCAAGTGGAAGGAGGCACGCAGTCATTCCTCAGAGACTCACAGAAGGCCCCTCAACACTGTGCCCTATGGTTTCACAGACACCTACATTTCCTTACACATGAAATCCGCTTAAAGCACATCAGGTAGCTTCTTTCATGGGAAAAAGAAACAAAAGGACAGTGCGAGGACTATTACTAATTAATCTAAGATTTACCAAACGTACATACGTGTGCATACCAAGCATTATTACGCAGGTTGGGAAAAAAGCCACTCAAGTGAAGAAGATGTCCTTTTTGCTTTGTAGGAGATAAGTCTACAGAGGGAGGTAAAATCCATAGAAGATGTTTGGGAAGAGAAGTGGATATTATGCCCTGGGAGGGTGTAGGGAGAGTCTCACCCCTTTCCTTTGGATATTGAATGTCGTACAGGAGCAAATCAGTTTATGGTGGGCTATGGTTTCCCACAGGATGCCTCCCAGGATACTACTCTGGTGAATTTGGGGATAGAGGATGGTGTGGGTGGTTACATGACTAAGTGCTAAGTAAGTATTGTGATCCTCCGGTAGAGATTCACTATGTTAGGAAATAAGCAGCTCTAAGAAGTCCCCACTAGGAACAAAAGTGCAAAAATGTTTAACTTGCATCTCCCACATTTAATTGATCATAGAACCCCTTTTACCACCTCTAAGCAATCTTGAGAACAAATTTTAGAAAAACAGGTTATATGCCCCTTAATGGCACTAAACAGTTGCCAACACGTCTCAGGGGAGAAGGAGAAAGACAGGGGCTTCCTCTGTGATGGGCTCTGCTAGGTTGGCTTCACTAGCTGCATAATGCAACAGCTACCGGACAAACGTAAGCCAACAGGAATCTGTAATACAAGATCAAGAGGAGAAACACAAACCTACAGATGACTCCCAGATCCTTGTTTTTATCACACACATTAGTCTTTCGAAATATCAACTCTCCCCCCAGATAAATTTTAAGAGCTGCTGATGCTGAGTCATGCCAGACTATGGGTCTTGGCTTAAGTGCTGTGCAAACATACATTAATTATTGGACCACTTCAGTATTCTGATGAGAAAAGCTATTGAAATGAAACTCCTCAGCTGCAGCTCCAAAAAAATCAAAGCGTCCAGCCCATCTAACTGAAGATCACCCGTGCCTACTGGGCCTCTCAGCACTGTGCCCAAGAGCCTCGACTGACATGCATGCAGCACTGTTCTCGCTGGTAAGGAGTCTCATAGTGAACATTTCATTTCCTGAACAATCATTTCAAATGCTGAGACATCGTCCTGAACAGGAACTGAGGCCTGGAGATTACAAACCCTTCCCATGGCTGTTAAAGAACCACCCTCTCCCCACAGGGTCCTTGCAGCTCTGGCACCGCAGGTCAGCTTGATCCAGGAGCTAGTGAGAGAGGCCAATTGTTGATAAAGATCCCACAGGAAAAAGACCAATTGCTAAAACAAATTAGATTCTTCGCTGGTTTTAGAACAAGTGACGCCAAGCGTATGTTTCTATCGACTTTTCCCTTCCTCTGGTCCCTCCTGTCAGTCACTGATTCTGGGAAAGAACCATTCCTTATAGCAGAGATAGCCCCTCCCGGTTCTAAAGACTGCCTCTGTCACTCTGTATTACGTCATCAAGGATTACTTTATCTTTGGAGAGCTACTTATAATTGGTTTAATAGGTGAATTACAAAAATTGTCAGTTGTAAGACTTGGCTATCTCTCATTAGTCCTATTTGCTCAGCTTTTGTCCTTGAAAATATCAGCACACAGATCAGTGATACTGACCTCTCATTTCACTTGGCAGATCCCAGCCCATGAGACAAGCTAATCACACAACTGACGTAACTTGAGTACACAGAATGCAGCCGCTGCAGTGTTAGGCACATTTTTAATACACGGAATTGGCCTCTTAATTGTGCCCATAACTTAAACCTTGGGAACGTCATTCAAAAGCAGCTCTTAAAATGCCATTCAAAAAGGCAGTAAAGGAAAATCAGCTCAGAAGCTGCTGAAAATAATGCCTGGGCTACAGAGGCTGCATTTTAACACCCACTTTGCCAATTTTTATGACCACTGAGGTTTAGAAGTATTAGCTAAAGGAGAGTTTTTAGTATTAAGTAGAAATAATTTTGACTAAACATTGAAAGATGGGGCAGCACTCTGAATATTTGGGAGATTACATGAATTTAACAAATTAAGGTTTTGAACGTTGTATATAATATTGAACCTTAAGAATTTTCCGGCCAGGCATGGTGGCTCACCCCTGTAATCCTAGCACTCCAGAGACTGAGCTGGGTGGATTGCCTGAGCTCAGGAGTTCCAGACCAGCCTGAGCAAGAGCAAGACCCATCTCTACTAAAAATAGAAAAACTAGCCTGGGCCTTGTGGCAGGTGCCTGTAGTCTCAGCTACTTCGGAGCCTCAAGCAAAAGAATTACTTGAGCCCGGGAGTTTGAGGTTACTGTGAGCTGTGACACCACGGCACTGGACGAAAGGCAAAGCAGGAGACTGTCTCAAAAAAAAAAAATTGTAATGATACTTTCTCCAAGCTTATTTCTCTCGCAGCATGATACTGAAGTTCCCTGAGGACATTCTTTTAAAATAACACTCAAGTCCTTATGCTAAATGTATTGAGAAATGTAAGTAAGCAACTCACACTTCTGTCATTTTCTGGCTTAGGCCAAGACGGCTTTTACGTCTCTGAGGCTATCCACAACGCCAAGATTGAGGTTTCAGAGGAAGGCACCAAGGCATCTGCAGCTACAGGTATGTTCATAAAGGGAAGTATTTGCTCACGACACCTGTATCTACCTTTGTCACATTTATCCAGTTGATCTTCATGCTTCTAAACATTTCCATCTAAAACCCCAAGTTCAGCTGCGGTACAGCATTTTTAAAAAAAGAAATAGCAACAGAAGGCAAAAATGTTTTGGAAAGTGATGAAAATCATTTTGGAAATGTTTTAGAAAAAAAGACCATTTTGAAAAGGATTGTGTCATCATCCCATAAACAAGAAATAGTCCTTCTGAAAATTTAATGAATAATTTATTTCATGGGGTATTTTGAAAACAGGAGACAGGCTTGGCTAAGTGGTCTTTCCTGTTTATTCCTATTGGCACCTCCCTCACAACAGTCAACAACAAAAAGTCATTAGGATTCTTTTGAGTGCTTCAAAAATTAAGGGATGTAACTGATTTCATATCCAATTGAAACAGATTTCTTTACAATTCAAAATGCACTGAGATTCTCCTATTCTTTATCTTTCTGGCAGCTCTGTTGTTACTGAAAAGATCTCGGATTCCTATTTTTAAAGCAGATCGGCCATTCATCTTTCTCCTGAGAGAGCCCAACACAGGTAGTACAGTATTGTCTGACAGGATTCAGATAAGTAACAAGGTGTCCATAAATTTATGTGCTAAAAAACTGCACATGAACTTTACAGATACCCTGTATCTATCAGTGTCCCTTAGCGACAAGGGGTCCACTTTGTCCACTAGACTGAAATAAGCATGACTTCTGGCTGTTTCTGTGGTGTTTCTGAAGCTTCCCAGCTGCTGGGTCTTGAGAAAGGACTATCTCATAATTACAAAGGAACAATTGTCCCCCATCCTTTTTGCCTTTTGATCTCTCAGCGCATCTGAGGTTTCATTTTCTTCCGGAAAGACTTAGAAAAAACTGTTAAAGTAAAATAAATGGTAGATTTTTCCTTTTTTTTTTTTTTTTTTTCAGTTGTTCCCTATCTTTAGTGTCATTCTGGAAATCACCTTCCTCCAGGCACTAGAGTGAAGAGGTAGTGACTCTACTATTGCAGTTAAGGCATCTGGATTTCTATTCTGTTCTTCTGTTCATCTTTCTCGAAAATCAAATGTTTAAGTCACACTATACAACCTTATTCAAAGGTATGGTACACACAAGGCCCCAGTACATCAGAAGGACAGCAGATGTCCTTAATTTTCAACACAACATTGAACAAAGTCTTTAAATTATTTCTCTCAATGTTCCTTCTCCCCCTTTGACAATTATTTATCAGCCTATGAAGGGAAAGAGATTCTCAGTAAATAGTTGTTGGCAAGTCTAAACAGTGTATCAAAAAGAAATAGGATGAAACAAGACTAATGAAATCAAGCAAAGGTGGATCTACTTTAACTAACCATCAGGCATTACTTTTATTTATGAAGAGAAAAAATGTCAAAAGTTAGAATAATGAAAATTATGCATAGTTTTACACAAATTAAGGAAATACTGTCAACATCATTTTATCTGAGAATCATTTGCATACTGCTGTAACTTTCGCTAGAAATCAAAGGAACATTTTTGTGACAAAAAGGATGAAAATCATTTACTAGAAAATAATCTATTTGAGCATTACTGGGGGAGAAAAAAAGTCCATCAACAGAATGTATGCTAGTATTTCACCACGATCATCCCAACCCCATATTCATTAGATGAAAATGTTACTTATCACTCAGAACAGGCAGCAAGGAGCCCTCTTTTAGGAAGGACATACGTCAAAAAATGAAAGATGAAAAAAACAATAGGTCCTATTCCCTCAAGAAATAGAACTAAACTTGAACAGCAAGGTCATTGCCAAAAGCTGATAAGTCAATAAAGGTTGATAATAGCTAAATAAAGTTCTGATTTTGGAATTCAACTGCATAAAAATGATGAAAATCCTTGAGCTAAGACGCACCACTATTTCAATGGTATGAGTTTTGAGAACTGCCTTAGTAATAAGGATGAAAATAATAAGGGTAATCCAAAGCCAGTTCCACAATCTGCCGCAACTGAAGCTTAGTTCTCATGAATTTATTCACCTCTTTCTGGGAAGCGTTTGCCCACATCACACAGCAAAGTGGCTACTCTTCTGGTGACAATTATTTAAGAGATTAGAAATGAGTTTCAGACCTTCACTTCTCCAGACAAATCTTAGTTGAGAGCAGCTAAGAATCAGCCAACAAATGAGACGCGGGCTACATTAAGAAAAGTCATCTAATAAACCTTAAACGTTTCGAGAGAATCATTTCTCCAGCCTAAAGTCATTCAGTGATCTATAGGCCCTAAAAGACATACTCCACCCCCTGCCACCACAGATATGTTCTTTCCTTTGCTGACAAGAATTCTGTGGTAAGTATTTCATTAATGTAACTAATATGCCCAGTTTTTAAAAATGCAAGTAAAAGAAAAACATTGAGGGAGATGGGATATATTAACTTTTAGTTTTGATGAATTTCAAATCTCATGACTAAGTTTTGGGACAGGGTGTAAAAAGTTTAGTGGCAGAGAAAAGACAAAGGTCAAAAAGAGGAGAGAAAACAAACTACTTCCCAACTCCTCTGGAAAATGTATTAAAAGGTTAAGAGTCTAAAGGATTAACTCAGGAGCAGCCTGTGAAATGGAAGTAAGAACTTTCTGATAAGGAGAGCTGCTAAGCACGGGGATGGACCCAAATGCTCGTTATGTATGAATTTTTATCTGATGACTTCTAATCCCTCTTACTAATCTCAGAATCTATATATATAATTCAAGGACAATATGTTCTGGATTTGTGTAACTCTTGTTGAATTTAGCAGTGTGACTATGTACATATAGTTACTTAAACAATTCCATGTATTAAATGATATGCTACTTGAAAAGTATTTTTTGTAGAGATAAGCAAGTTTTAAAGAATTGCATATGAAAATACTATGTAATGTTACATTACAAGCTTCTTTTTCTTGACAGGGTTTGTCTTCAGTATTGGGAGAGTTTCAAATCCCCTGGACTAAATTATCAGATCTCAAGCATGTTCTCCACTTTCGTTGCTGCTTTTCTTCATAAAAAGTTCTAACTTCATTTTGCTACACTCTTAAAATGTGAAAAATTGTAAAACATAAGGGTACATGATTTTCAACATAACTTCTATTTTATTAAGTTTGTGTTGTCCTCTCTTAATCCAAATCTATTTTAACTTTCTTTTCTACTGTTACCCGCCCCCCACCCACTAAAAGGCACATCAGTGATCCATGAATGTGAGTGAGTCTGGCCCCAGGATGGCTTCCCCAGTGAGGACATAGGGGAACTGAGGGTAGGTAGGGAATGAACAGTGTTTGTTTTTCCTCATCCTTTATAACTCAAAGGGGATGCACATTCATCTGAAGTGTTTCCTTTCCATTCAGCTTCTAAATAAAATTGGAAGTTAAAGCTGTGAAGTTTGTGTGAGAACAGCAGGGCAAAACAAAAACACTCTGAACCCTCAAATTTGTTCAGGCCGTTGTAGGCATGGTATCAAGCTGCTAACAGACATTTCAGAGGACACTTACCACTCCCTAGCAGCAGTTTAGTGCCATCCACAGTCTTAGAAAAGAAAAGGGGTTGAAGGAAACCAATAATGTCCAAAGTTGTCTGCTTTTTAAAGAGCTTTTTAAGTGTCTCCCTGTCTGCCACAGACACAGTAATTCCTATCATCTAAGCAGAAACAGGAGCATGTTGGTGTGGCCAACAAAAACCACAAACAGAGTAAAAAGACAATCTAGGTCACGTAACACATAATTACAGTTAGGTTTAGCAATGAACTTTGAGTGGTGTATTCTTCCAATGCTAAAAAGCAAGGCCTTTAAAATTCCATTATCTTAGGATTTTTTTTAAATGATTACTTTAAATGTGATTATTTCCTAAACCACACAAGAGTAAAATAGAGCATTTATTGATGGAATAACAAAAGTGCTTTTCTTAAATATTCTTCAAAATACATTTGTACAACTTACAATAATATATCCAAAATAACTGTATATACAAAACATTACCTAGTTTTAATGTATGTGCTTTTTCCCCAAAAATTACAAAGTAACTTTTTAATTTTTTTGGCAAAGTTCAACCTTAACAGAGGTGACAATTTTAAAGGTTGCTTTAAGAAAATAGAACCTGAGGGAAATTGACACGCGAGAGTCAATGATAAGCAAGAGATCTGGAGGATACTTTATAGTTTGTTAAATAAAAATTTTTAGAGTGATACTTTTCACATTACAAAAATAAATCAAAATGAAAAAAGGTCACTGTAAAATGATGGGAAAAGGATCTGTAGACTTGCTTTTAGTATTTCAAATAGCCAACAACGCATGTCAAAAAAAGAAAAAAAAAAATCCAAGATCACAACAGGCTTGCGTTTACTTTGTATTTGGAGGAGACAAGAGAGCAAGTGGCCACATCCCATTTCCTTTAATTGCTGTTGACATGGTTGATCTGACTGGCTCTTCGATGAATTTCATCCAAGAAGTTTTCCAGCTGTTCTATTAGCATTCGCTTTTTAAACCTGTAGGAAAAAAGAAATAAGAGCAATCTTAATGACTTTTTAATGGATGGTATATACCAGTATGATTTTTTCAAAAGGAGAAAAATAGCTTCTGAAGATTTTTTGCAGTGAAATTAAAATGAGGAAAAAAAAATCAACCCTTTATAACATATCTTCTGGGAGGTTAGTAAGTAACTACACCAGTACTGTATTCTAGTCTGTCCCTAAAACACATATGCCAGGCCTAGACAATGGGAAAGGGGTTGTTCCTTCCACAACCCAAAAATACTAATAAATTTGCAATACTCTAGCAAAATTTGGGTTTTCAAATCAATTACTCCAATAGCTTCTTCTCATGCTCACTGAAAGTTACAGTTGAAAGGAATGTGAACAGAGTATAAACATAATCCCCCATAAAATGGAAGGAGGATGAGCTGGTAAATCAAAAATAATTAGACATCCATGATACAGGACATAGCAAACAAAGTTCAAGTGGCAATTTTTTAAAATTTCAGTAATAAATATAGGTAAACTGAAATTACATTTATCTATGTAAATAATAATTATTGCTGATTTGTTTTAGAACACCCCCAAGTACTGGACATTCTATCCCTACTTCTTCTCTACTTGAAAGCTAGTATGAACTGCTACCGCTGTAGTATTATGTAACTCTCTCAAAGGTGGTTGAAGTATGGAGAAGCAAGAATCCAATGTACTCAATTCTGATATGAGGACAATGAATGACCCAGTACATGGTAGGGGGTGGGGAGG